GTAAGGAACTGTTGTGGTATCTTCAGATGGTTCAAACTATTTTCACTGGAGTGATGCAGTATGTAGCTGTGTAACCTCACAACAGGAAGGTTCTGGGACTGAAGCTGCCACTCCAGCTTCTCCACAGTCCAAAGACTGCTGTAGATGTGAGTGGTCGTCTCTCTCGTTGTGGAGTGGTGACTTGTCCTCCTCTCACCCATTGTCGGCTGAGACAGACTCCAGCCCCCCACGACCCTCTAAACATTAAAGTAGTATTTAATGAAGACAACAACTGGCTGCAGCCTTCCAGTACTTCTATAATGCAGTCATAGATGATATGCTTCCTCAGGTTTTCTGTGTGTTGAGACACAAAAAAATAAGTTGATCCTGAACCAACAGAGAAAAATCTTTAGAAGAAGGCGATTTCTGTATGCTGCTGTACTCACACAGTATTCTATTATTATAGTTGTGCTTTGTTGTTGTTCAATAGGATCAATCTTTTTCAGGACTGAAAAAGGGTTTTTGGCATTTCTTGACATTCTATAGCCTGAATGCATAAAAAAGAATTCTTCTGCAGGATTTGGAATGGCATCAATGTGGATAACTTGTCATCTGGAAGCACAAAGGTTCACAATTCAATGGCGTAAACTATTTCATGATGCCAACACCAAGGTAACAATAGTTCCTTACTCTGTGTGAAAGCGCACGCACAGCAAAAGAGTAGCTTCCTCCCTTCATGTCATCTCCAGGAGCACATGCTTGTTGAATCATTACGTGGCGCTCTGTGTTTAACTGTAAGAGTCCAACAAACAAAACAGCTTTAGAGCTTTTGGTCTTTTAGTCACATTCAGGGGTTAAACAATTCATTAATTATCACCATTGTTTCCCAATTGATTTCCTGTCAATTTACTCACCAAATAATGATTTCAGCACAGAGTACCGGTCGCGTTCTGGGCGTCTGGGGAAATAATTTAACCGACGCGTATAGTGGAGGAACATCAGGGGCCCAACAGCCAATCTTGGCCCCTGCGGAGGTAAATCCAGGCCTGACAGCAGGGATGACGAACACGCTTTGCATTCTGCTCCATTTCTATAATGAGGAGTGTGCCTACTGCACAGTGTAAGAGGTCAGAGGTCAGAGGTCAGCCGCAGGTCAACGCACACAAAACATTTCTGCATCTGAAAGACATTCCGGCAGTTGCACTCCTCCTCCGACGCTTTCTTCTCTTTCAGCTTTTTAAAAACTCGGATGTACAGCTGCCAACCTGCAGAGTCAGAATTATGACCCATCAAAGATGAGCTGGAGCTCAGCTGTACGTTCATGACTTTATTATGTTACGTGACAACAGAAGCGTTCCCTAGAGGGGCTTTTCAGAAAGGTCCAGTTGTTCTTTACTCCAGCAGCGCCTGAGTCAGATTTCATTTTAGAAAGCACAGATCCATTTCACAACTCATCCTTATTTTCTGCTCTTTTCTGCATTTGAATTTTTATTTTTTTTTCAAAATGTTGCACCTCTGTGGTAT